TTACAGTACAAGTTCTCATATGTCCTGAGTCTTAATTGACCTTAGAAGGTTAGGGCCAAAATGTTGGCATTCCTTGTAGCCCTCCTTTTTCTCTAAATTTGGTCTGCAAACTTACATTGTTAACCATCCAGAAGACAAGGTTATTGTTATTATCCAACGATTTAGGCTCTTAAGCTTAACCTATCTCACCAGCCTGGTCTTGAATACACAGCCATCCTCCTCCCTCAGCCTCTTGAGTGCTGGGATGACAGGCATGCACCACCACACCTGGCTATATCTAGTTTGTTATTTTGAGACAAGGTCTCCGTGTGTTGTTCAGGCTGGCTGTGAACTCCTGGGTTCAAGCAGTCCTCCCACCTCAACCTCCCACTTGGCTGGGACCACAGGCGTGAGCCACTGTACTCGACTGGTAGATCACTTTAGTTAACCGAGAAGTGGCTCTTGTTCTGGTAATTTACCTTCATGGCTTTAAGAACATTCTTTTCTGTCTCATCTGAATCAAGAAAACTCCTTCACTGTGTCCTAATTCACAACAAAAGAATATTCTAGAACATCAGGAGTTAGTGATACGCTTCTGACTCAAGAGCCTGTGAGCACGAGCATGGGCCCTCACCTAGCTTTGGCCAAGCAGCCCCTGCCTATGGTGGATGTGAGGTGCCCCTGGCAGCTGTAGGAAGTCACTGAGTACCTGGTGGCAGGACCTTTGCCCTTCGCCAGGAAGCTCTCTAAAGCACTATTCCGATCAATGTTCTACCTTGTTTAGGGCTTGAGTCCATAAATTCCCTCTTCCAACAGTCTTGGGGGACATCAGCGTGTCCAGAGATGGGCTGCCACCGGCCTGTCAGAATGTTTTTATTCTTTAAGTCAGTGTAAAGCTCTTGGGGAGAAAGACTGGCAAGACTGGAGAGACAGGGAAACAGCCAGTGCTGATTCCGTACTCTTGGTGAATCCTCTGCAGGAGCCACTGGCACTGTGTCCACGTCCCTCCCAGGCTGAGACCCTGCCAGCCCCGAGGTTGCTTTCAGCTCCCACTGCCGATTTCCGTCTGGTGCATGGGGCCCCATAGTCGCTGTCACTCCCATGCTGTAGCCACGTCCCCTGGGCCATGATCACACTTCACAGTCACCTGCACTGTGTTGCACTGGCTGGCGGGTGGAAGCAGGCCTGGCCTTTCTTCTGCCTAGGTCACTGTCAGTGGCAGAAGAAGCCAGGCAACTCATTTCTCCCCTAGGTCTTTGCTTTCTGTGCCAACCTAGGCCACCTACCATTCCATCAACCTTACCGAGTGTCCCTGTATACCAGGTCCTATACCAGCTGCAGGGGACAGAGGTGGAGGACATCCTTGCCTTCAGGGAGTATGGCTGAGTCACAGGGTAGAGAATGAGAGGCTGGCAGAGAGCCATGTCCTGAGTCCAGTCAACTGCCAAGTGCCACAAGATGTCCCAGTGTGCAGGGCACGGTGGGCAGGGTGCAGGATACCAGAAAGACTTCAGAGGCCACACTGGAGCTGGGCCAAGGAGGGGGTGAACCTGCCAGCTCCAGAGGCCAGCCTCCCTCAGACCCTGCTCCCTCCCCCACCACCTCGCCATTGGGGGCAGTAACAGGACCTGAATGCAAAGGGTCTCAAGCTCTAGTGAGTGAACAGAGTCCACACCTGTCGGGACTAGGCGCAGAGGGCACTGTGGACCTCAGGGCAAGCAGGAAGCCTTGTGGGCAACAAGTCACCCCAAAGGTGTGTAGGACAGCTGCAAAAACAGCCTGAGGGGCTAGGTGCACAGCTCTTCCCCTACAGGGCAAGTTCCCGAGAACCAGAAAGGTCTCAGCAGTCATGGTCTCCTCAGTAAGGGTGAGGATGCTGAGGAGGGAAGGGTGGCAGGGCGCACACCTCTACGTTGCATTGGGGGGGGGTCACGTGGAAGTGTGGTGCAGGAGATGGTAAAAGGTATGTTAGGGGCTGGGTGCTTGAGGACATGCTGTGGGCACAGCAGCACCCCCTTCCCAGGTAACTGTCACTGTGGTGACTGCACATTAATCCAGCATGCTCAGCACATTAATCCTATGCCAGTGCTAACCTGGCTTAGCAACATGGTCCTCATTCCCCAGTGAGAAAAGAGACCAAAGAGGGGACAGAGCTGGGCCAGGTAAGGGCCAGTGCCAGAGGCCATTCTGACTGCCAGCTCCCAGAGCTCTGCTCTTTATGCACCTGGTGTCTCCAGCAAGGTTAAGCCATGGGCGCTGGGGACAGAGCAGCCATCTCTGTCACAAGGTCAGTTGACACATAACCTTAGGAGGTTAGGCAGAGACAGGCATAGGCACTTTCTGGGGACAAAGGTGCCCTTATGAAGAGGTGCTTTCCTGGGAGACAGCTCTCTGCATATACATCTACCTAGTGGTGGCCACCATAAAGGGACGACAGCTGCCCCATGCACGGCAGGCTCTCCTCACAGTTGGCCTCACAGGAGGACATCTGCCAGCTCACCATTCTGATCCACAAGAATCCTGTGCAAGGAGCTATGTCTGAATTAAAAAGTGATGCACGTGGAAGGTGAAGCAGAAACCCCCCAGGGCTGCCTCTGCTGGGTGTCTACTTCTAGACTACAGCACAGCTGGTGACTCCTGACCCTGAGGTGAAGGGAAAGAGCAGGGTGGACTCTTCTCTGAGGCCTGTTCTCACTACAAAGCCCAGCCCTGGATCCAAGTGGTTCAAGCAAGATTCCAGAATGAGAGGCGGGGAGGTGGGACACATTCACTGTCCTCCGGCTGACCAGGCCATGAAGAAGGACAGTAGGACCCTGGCTGTGTTCCTCTAGTGTGTATCCCTGCCTGACCCTCACAGAGCTGCAGGCTGGTGAGAGAGAGCCATGTGGACAAAGATACCAAGATTGCATTTACTCAGCTTGTGGAGCTGGACTAGAACCTGACCCCAGACCTGCCAACCCCAGCGCAGGGCCTCGGCCACCAACAAGCAGCAGGCCGAGAAGATGCACCCACTGGAGCATTCACGTGTGACTGTGAAGGCGCACATTCTGTGAAATGTCTGGTTGTCTGGGAGCCATTTTTGTATCTTGGGGGATATGCGGTGCACTGGCCAGTAAATGATGTGTCTTGACACTGAGGAGCCTCATGCTGGGAGGCACTTACCCCTTCCATGGGCGCGATGAGCAGGTCGTACAGAGCACGGAGCGGGGGCTTGGCGAAGGAACTCTGCCTCCGGGGAAGAGATGAGGTCCCGTCCTTGATGGGTGACATGGTGTTACTGAACAAGCTTGTCATGCTCTGGCAGCTCCTGGGGAGAGAAGGGGCAAGAGATGAGCCCGGCCGAGCGGCAGGCGGGGTCACGGCTGCTCCATCAGCCTCCCTTCCTCCCTCCCTCTGGCCATGGCTCCTCTCTTCCCTTCCAGCTGACTTTCACACAACAGTGAGCGCTGTCAGACACCAGGGGACAGCCCAGCTGCACACAATAGCTGCCATTTCTGTGGAGCTTGTCTATATTATCAAACGTCCCAAAGTGCTGTTCAGAGGTTTAATTATCTCCTCTGTGATGCAATTGTGTGCAAGCAAACGTGAGGACTGTGAGGAATCAGCAGTGCCACCAGGTGCCGCCAGGCCGGCACGGGCAGTGCCCCGCTGCCAACTAACTTTCCATGCAGGGGCCACAGGCAGGACAAGACGGCTCCACTGTGGACTTAGAGCAGGCCCTGAGCACTGCCTGAGCCACACCACAGCACTGCTCTGCAGCCCTGGAAGTGGGAATGCTGGGAGCACAGGGTTTGGTTGTGCTTTTTGACTTCTGTTCCAGTGTCCCCAGACATGTAACACCCCAGTGTCACACTCTCAGCATAGGATGAGGGTAGACATTGGTATAGAAAATGATTCCTGAGTACCAGCTGCCTGCCAGGCACTGCTTCAGTCTCAGGGGACCTAGAGGATGGGGCACACAGGTGAGTAGGACAGTGGCGGCAGCAGGGAACCAAGCCTGTTCCCAACACAGACAGCGCTTCCTGAAGCATCCCCTCAGAACATGCCTCTGCCTGGCTCACCTGGTAGCATTCTCTGTGTACCTGCTGGGTAGCCCAGTGACCTGTCAGCCTTGATCTAGACACTGCTTTATGGTTCCTTCTACCTTTTCAGGGCCCTTGAGGACAGGGACTATGACATACAACAGATGCACCACTGGTTTTCAATAAGTACTCTGGCTGCTGGTTGTGACAGCAACTGGGCTGTTGCTTAAAAAGGAACCACAGATGGCTTTCCTCCTAAGCCAGGCCAGGATCTGTGACATTCCAGGAGATAGGACAGAAGATCCATCTGTGTTTCCCAGGGTTGGCCTGCCCCTCCCCTCCCCACCTGAGTTCTAGATCATATCTAACTAAGCTCTAAGCACCCTCTGACCCGACACGCCCACTGTCTGCTCCTCAAAGAGCAGAGCTGAGCAGCAGGATGTAGCAGCTTGGACAGCTGCTCACGCCTGCCCACTCCCTCAGGAAACGTAATTGCCAGCAACTGGGGCAGTGGGCCGGCTTTGCCATCAGAGCCAGTGAAGCGCAGACAACCCTGGAGTGACCCTCAGGCTCACACACTACCATGGAGCACACTGCAAAGAGCAGCTCTCCCCTCAAGGGGAGATTACCCAACTGCTCTCCAGAGACACTCTGCAGTGACACATGGTGTCTGTCATGGCGCTGTGTTACTGCACACATGTGCTCTCAGAGACCACAGGAGGGTGGCAGCACGGTGCCTGGTGTCTCATGTCCCAGGGGTGTCTGTCCGTACTTTGGGCTCGGGCTCTCTGACCCGAGGCAGCAAACCCTTTACCCCATCCCATCCTCCCTGGCCAGCCCCCCAATGGTGGAGCTGCTGAAGGAAGTGCAGGGAGTATGGATAGGGGACTAGAGCTTGATCCTAGCCAGGACCATGTGGAGGGAGGAGATGAGATGCAAGTGGTGGCCTCCGTCCCAGCTGCAAGCAACGACTACCCTCTGGGTCTTTCTGTGTCTGCAGAAAGCTGCCCTACTGCCCTGTGAGGAATATTAGGACCAGAAGAGCTATTGCAAAGCTTGTGGACCAGCAAAGGCTGTGGTGGGCCAGGGTGGGACTCTTGGTGGTGGGCTTGGTGGGCTGGGTTTAGGTGCTGATGGCAGTGGTATGTGTCTCTTGATCAAGCACCATGATATGCCACAGGCAGCTAAAGGGACCTAGCAGTGCTGGTCCTACCCACATATGTCACTGCTACCAGGTGCATGTTGGCTCCAACCTGAAGCAGATGCCCGACTCTAGCTACTGGGTGAGCCCAGCCAGAGGCAGCTTTCCAGAAGAGCATCACTTGATCTGGGGTCCCGGGGAAGATTTGGAGCCAGCCTGCCTAGTGGACAAGGTAGAAGAGGTCATCCCAAACAGAGGGACAACACAGGAAAGGCACAACTGGGAAATGGAGACCTGAGTGTTGGGCGGTGTGCGTGCGCGCCATGTGGGAAAGGAGTGGAGAACTGGGGAGAGAAGCCAGTGGTGTTGAGAGGGCCCTGGTCACCCTGTGTCCCCACAGTGTGAGCCAAAGGATGCCACCTGCAACTGCAGTCCTTCCTAGGGATCCTGCCCTTGTCTCAGTGCTGGCTTGGCACAGCAGCCGAGGTTTGGCCACTTGCCACCCTTAACATCAGCTAGGTTCTCTAAGGAGGCCGGTCAGTTGTCTCCAGGCAGGGCTGGTGACTCATGGCACATAGTGGATCTGCAGGGTTTCCTGGCACCTCTGGGCACATGGGAATCTGTTTCTAGGTGATGCAGATTCTTCATGGGCCAGGTCTGGTGAGGTGTGCGGGTCACCCAAGCTCATCAGCAGAGGCCCTGTGTCTAAGTCTCCACAGAGCCCCTGCCTGGTGCTAGACCTGGTCCACTCTCTGGCAATCTGTCAAGACTGCCATGCCTTATGTACACCAGCTGATACTGGTCCCCAGAATTCTGTGCAGAGAGCGGGCCCTTGGTCACCAACCCTAGGGCCTGCCACAGCCTGGCAGCTCACAGGTCAATGACCTCTGGGGCTGTAGTTCTTGCCCTTGCACAGTAGTCAGGCAGGAAGCCCTGGAAACAGCCCTGGACCTGTGCTGCTATCTGGCATAGGGTATCTAGTCCTAGAAAGGATCTTTTCAAGTAAAAATAGAAGACCAGAAACAGTGACTAAGAAACAAAGCACAACTAATCTGAAACAATAATTTGAGGTCAAAGTAAATCCACTTAAGAAGTTCTCCCTCAGCAAGAAGTCCCTGTAACCAGCCCTCAGGCAGTGGCTTTCTTGCTTGCCTCTGTCTCTAGAGGCTCCTGGGGTCCCTAGAGGCATGGCATCCCCAGCTCCCCAGCCACAGTCACCTCCCAATTTTCCATGTTAGCTGCGCTGGTGCCATACATTGCACTGGAGCAGCTATAGGAGCCGCTGTCCACTGGAAAGCCGATGCAGGAGTCACAGGCCCAGGGTCAGAGAAGGGGGCAGGAAACCTAGGACGAGAGTGACTGATAGCCCCTAGGACACTGAAGGTACTCTGGGTACACAGATCATGTGGCATGATCTTGGGCTGGGACCCAGAGACAGAACAACAGAACAGAAGAGAACAGAACCTTCTCCGGCTGCACAGGGGCTGGGGCTTTTTCACCTGTCAATTACTGCTGCCCCATCTTGTGAATGGTCTCTTGACCATCTGGGTTGATTCTTACTGCAATAATACTGCCCTGCTGCAGCTGCCGCCCTGGGTGCACTGGACAGAGATCTGCAGGAGAGACATTCATGAGGACTCAAAGCAGTGAGGCAGCCAGTCCTGAGGCAGATGCCTGAACTTTTCAGAGGACAGATGGGATTACCAGGGGCCTGACATGCCACCAGGGCTGTTGACTCTATCCAGGCCCACTGCTCCTCTGCCCTTTCCTCACTTGGCTTCTTTTAAGAAAGGAAAACTTTTAATCTAGCCACACCCTCAATCGTCTGCCGAACCTCCCCTGTTAGGTCTGCCCATGCAGGTGTCATACACAGGGCGGTCAGGGTGCTGACCAGCTTTCAGGTGCCACTGGACACAGATGGCATCCTGTGGTGAGTGCAGCTTGGGGCCTTAGAGTCGGCCTGGGTCCCAGCTGCTTAGAGAGGTTGGCATGTGTGACATGGGGCGTGAGAGGCAACTTACTCCCTGCACTGTCAGGAAGGCCCCGTGCGTCTGTGGCCACAGGGGTGGGTTCTGTGTGTGTGTGGGGGGGGGTCACGAGGGCAGCATCTCAGATACTGGGCTGCTGATTCCTGTGGGGCCTCATGGTCTGGGTGACTGCTCCTGCCTCAGCTGTCTAGACCCCAGGACCAGAGGATGCGCTTCTCACCATTAGCCCAGAAGCTCTGAAAGGGGCCCGGTGGTGCTGCTAGGCTGACCTGACCACCCAAGGCCTGTGAGGTGGGCCATGTCTTTACAGGTGAGCACCAAGGTTCTATAGGGTACCAGCTGCTCAAGGCCACTAGCACTGCAGGGCTTTTCACTGTGCCCTCGTGGCCAGCTGAGGAGTCCACACGGTGGGCTGGTGGCAACAGCTCCTTCGGGCTCTGAAGGCTTCATAGTTGCAACACCCAATAACTCCAGCAGGTGGCGCTGGCTCACCATCATCCTGTCCACTTCCTGACCAGCTCTACTGGCGCTCAGTGACAGCCCAGCCTGGGGCAGAGGATTTTCTCACACTGCATGGTCTTTATTAGCTCGTTCCTCAGATGATGTTAATCCACTTCTAGAGGAAAATTTATTTTCTTCTCAGCACAGCAGTCTGGGCAGTGGTGGGGAAAGGAGAGGAATCAAGCATGCGGGGAAGGGTGGTGAGGCCTCTGTGCACAGAATGTATAGTGCTGAGATGTGCGTGACAAGCCACTGGCAAGGCAGTGGCATCAGGGGTGCAGTTTCTGTCTGCAATGATGACAAACACCAGCAGGCCTGCCACAATGGGTGCTCATGAATCTCCCCTCCTGGGATGAAGGGCTGTGTTCCAACGTGGGAGATTTGTGGCGGTAGCCAGCAGGGTTACAGGCTCCTTGGGGAGTCGTAGCAGCAAGTACGCCTGCCCTGTGTGCTGCCACCACTCCCCTGACCTCCTGCCCAGGTTCTGCTTAGGAGTGTCAGCTCCCAGTGCAGACTGCAGCCGGAGAGCGAGTCCCAAGCCAGTGTGCATGCTGCCTTCTCAGGCTTCCGTACTTGCTGAGCTGGACGAGCCCTTGCCTGCACACCACACACGCACTCCATCCTGCCCCCTCTGCCCCTGGGAGGCCACCCCCTG